TCGTCTCTCATGGTTCGTCCACCCCTAGAGGGATAAGTAACTTATCCAAAGTCATGTAACTACTAGGAAGTGAAATTGGAAATTGAATTGAGCCTTACAGTCCCAAAGCCTATACTTTTCTGCTATATCACCCTGCCTCCAGCTAAGAGTTATAGCCAGTCAGCCTGCTCCAAGACACAATGATTATTCTTCCTGGAATTTTTTACTCCATGGGAGACAGACTTCACTGATATGTGGGCAAAAATTCTCCTAAAGAATATGTGTTCAAAAAACAGAAAAATGGACTATTTTCCTATTATAGTCAGATTCTGTAAATTGGTAAACATTAGAGAAGATTTGGCTTTTTTTTTCAGTAACAAGGAAGCTTTGGAATTTTAGTTTTTTACCAGCCACCATGACGTTTTAAGAAATATCTATAGAAATTTTTTTTTAATCAATAAAATGGCATTAATTAGCACGTGTTTGTCCAGTCTCTAATCCACCAGAGGGTGCAAGGTGAATTAACAGGATCTTCAGTATTTTATGAGAGAAACAATCCACAAAATCCTTAAGTTTTTCTCAATTCAAAAATATTTTTTAAAGGAAAGGGCTGGCTGAGCATAAAAAGTCCAGACTTCATTGCTAGTTTCCCTTTCTATCACTAGAAATGTAAACAAGGTGCCTCCTTACTCATTCATATTATTTATTTTACTCAATTTTTGCTGCAACGTACTGAAACCAGGGGTTTCATGGTAAGAGATAGTCTGTGACTAGTCCGTTTTGTTTTGTTTTTTTGGGGTTTTTTTGCAACACACAAAGTTTACATGAAAAAAAATCCATAACTCTATTCAGATGACAAAATGATGATGGTGTTCCTGAAGAAGGTAACAGGAGAGTGAAATTCTTTTTATATGAGCTTACAGTTCAGCCTTCTAAAGAAAGCAGAAGAAAGTGATGAAGAAGAAAAGAATGAAAAATTAAGGTTCGAAACTTATGGTGGTAAAACGGGAAGATGGGAAGTTGTTGAAATTCTGATAAAGGCTTTCTTTGCAGTCCTATCCTTAGCATGGAAAAACAAAAGAAGTGTATTTCCTGCCTATACATGGTAACACTTGCAAATGTTTCTTTCTTGTGGTGTAGTTATCGCTCTGGAATAAATGCACTGTTACTGAGTGATGATGAAAATATAATTCAGCAGTTGAGGAAAAGAAAGGAATTGTGTCCCTTGGGTCTGATAATTAAAAAATTAGTAATTTTACCAAAGGTCAAATGCATAACTCTATAAAATCCCCCACAGAAGTAAGCGGCCCTGCCCTCATCTTGATGTCCATAGAGGGTTAAATCTACTGATTCTATTTTATGTGGGTTAGTTGGGCTCCCTCTAGGTCATGGCCATTGATCTTACTTATAAACCCAGTTAGGCTCCTTGCTCTTGTATATTCATGATCCAGAAATGACTAGATGAAACAGTGGATAGTTAATGGTAAATCTAATTTAATTTAAAGAAATACCAAAATAGTTAAACAATCGTTACCAGCATCAGAACAGGTAAAGAGCAACTCGTATGCAGGAATCCAGGACTGTGGCTTGGCAATCGATGCTCCCACACTTCTAGAAGGTGGTGGGGGAGATTTGGGATTAGTTGTTTCCTGACAAGAAACTTAAGTTTCTGTCTTATAGACCAGAAAGTTAACTGCCAGCTAACCTGAAGGAGATTCAATCCAAAGGAGATCATTTTATGAATCCAACTTATAGCGAGCTGATTTGCAAGTCTTAGCATCTTTCATTCTACCTCGCACTGTGCCAGAAATGTGAGACACAGACACAGAAGTATTTACAAATCACAGCATCCATCTGACTAATAGGTAATAACCAAGACTACAATTTACTAGTTTACATTAAGCAATAATGCTTAACCTGTTTTGAGGTCATGAATTCCTTTGGGAATCTTTTTTTATTGAAGTATAGATGACATGATGTTGCATAAGCTGCAGATGTGTAACATAGGGATTCAACAGCTATGCACATTGTGCTGTGTGTACCACAGGCGTGGCTCCCATCTGTCACCAGGCGAGGCCATTACAATTCCACTGACTGTATTCATCCCTGTGACTCATTCCTTTCATAACGGGAAGCCTGTATCTCCATCTCCCCTTCATCCATTTTGCCCATCCTCCCACCTCCTTCCCTTCTGGCAACCACTGGATAATTTCACTCATGTGTGGAATCTAAAACAAACAAACAAAACAAACAAACAAAAGCAGAAACAGACGCCTAAATACAAGGAATCTTTTGACGCCGTAAAGCTCTCTCTCCAGAAAACATAATGCACACACATCCAATATTTTGTAGACAATATTAAAGTGTTTAGAGAACCTTTAGAGACCATCCACATATGCCAGTTTAAGAAGCTCTGACAAAATTTCCAGTAATCAGTGTATTTGTATCATTCATTTAGGAATTGATACTTCAAGGAAAACTAACAGGGAGAAAGATGTTTGATGTGGCTATCACCAGAGAATTGGAAACTGAATGTTAGGCTATGTCATCAGAATCAGTTGTTCCACTCACTGAAAAAGGTTGCATGTTGGGAGTAAGTCACCTTGAATGCCCTTTGCTAAGGCACTGGTAACAGGTGCCAAGTGCAAAGTAAAATGCCCATGGCAAAGAGGACATCCTGTTTTCTCTGTTCGAAGTGGTTCAGCCCTGAGTACTTAGAATATAAATTCCTTTAAGACCATATCATACCTTTATGTCATGGCTTGTTGTTCTCAAACTTTTGTTTAACATAAGCCTACCCTCATAAGGGCATATTGATTGCAAAATATTCACTCAACAAGTAATTTTTTCAGTAGGCACAGAAATATAGTGATGAACAAACGTACACTGTTCATGATTTTATGGAGTTTACAGACTAGTGGATTCACCAAACATGAACAAAGTCAATTTTTTAGATCCATTAGCTATTTTTGAACTAAGTAGACAAAAATAAAACAAAATGCCGCTGAGTTTACTCACAATAAGGAAAATTCCCCCAAATTTAAATGAATAATTATACTGAACCCTTGTTACATATAATGCATTGTCTATAGAGAAAGAATAAGAGTGGTCCTTGTTATTAAGGAATTTATATGAATGAATTAATGAATTAATTTCATTGGGAAGATACTGTAGATATCAAAAGTCAAACACATCTGGTTTCAAATTCTAATTTTTAAAAGTTTTGCCTGTTCTTTTTTCCCTTGGACAAGTTCCTTATCCTTTTTGATGCTCAATTTCTTCTTCTTAAAATAAGGAAAATAAGAGCTATGTCACAGTATTGTTACAAAATTAAAAGAGGTAAAATTTTAAAGAAACTTGACACTCAAGTGTTTAACAATAACCGTTGCAATTTCTAAAACAGATATAATAAGTTATATACAAATAATGTCACATATTGCAGACAATGATAAAACATCAAATGATTAGTACATGTAATAACAGATTCTGTCAAGAAGGATCAGCAAGGATTGGGCTAATCAGAAGCTTCAGGAGAAGATGGGACCTGAGCTCCACCTTAAAATCTGACTAGGATCTGGTACAGGGGAGAGTAGATCAGAGAAGATGGGAAAGTGGGATGAGTGGTGAGTACAGAGACTGAATGTACATGTTTTATTGGGTGACAGTGAGTAGATTAATCTGACTTATTCAGAGGATTCCTCTAAGGTAACAGTATAAGAGAATTTTGGAAAGGTAGAGTTATGAAAAATTGGGGAAGGTCTTGAATCTTCATGAACAAGCAAGGAATGGAAAGACATTTCAGACATGTTTTAGAAAGATTCATCACATCACTGTGGTGTAGGAGGTAAATTTTATTTACACAGAGGGCTTTAGAAGATGGAGAGGTAAGACAGTTAACTGAGGCTATAAAAGAAATAAGTTAACACTGAGACAATCTGATAGATTACGGCAGTTAGAATGGAATGGAATAAACCAAAGCTAGAAAGAAAGAAAAGAGAAAGAAAGAAAGAAAAAGGATTGATGGTGTTCATCAGTTGACTGGAAAAAGAAATGACTTGAAAATGATGGATTCAGCAAGTACATATTGAAGACAGAGTAGTGAACCTGAGTGTCTTAGAGAAATGAGGACACTGTATTAAGTAGGTTTCTTCTGGCAGGCAGAAGTGGGAAGATCATTTTAAGCTCTGAACAATTTACTTCTTGTACGTAGGAACCATGTTGCATTCATCTTGGACTCCTCAACACTTAGTACAGTATCAGGAGTATGATGGATTCGAAATACGTGTAAGGAACTGATGAATATGTTATGGTTCCCTTTGAACTTGAGTAGTCTAAGTGTACAACCAGAATTCAAATCTAAATCAGAGCTGTAAATAGAGACTTGCATGGCTAGAGTATGGGATGAGATACATTATGAGGGAAAGAGGAGGATGGTGGGTGTGACCCATGGTTGGGGACTAGCAAATGCCCATCTTTCCCCTTAGCTCACCATGATCCGTGCAGTAAACCAACTTCCAACTGTCAGCAACTGCAACTCTTTGCTTGAAGACTTCCACTGCCCACCAGGGCTCCTTTGACCTACATGTGAAGCAAACAAGAAAATCTGAAGAATTATCACCTTTGGGAACAGCCCTCGATGTCAGAGAGGATCTGCCTGATAAATATCCCAGGTCCTTTGGGTAGGATAACTCTGTGGTGCATGTTCTATACTGTCTCCCAGAGTTCCCTAGTAAAATCCAGCTGCAGTTGCCCACATTGGTGATTAGCTTGATAGCTCACCCTTTTTGTCTTCCTCCTCTTCCTCTACTACTTCCCATTAGTTTCACCTCCCATTAGTTTTTTCTGATAATTCCTCACAAGTATCTTGTTTTCAGAGTCTGCCTCTGGGAACCTACATTCAGTCAGTGAGAATGACAGATCAGCAAGAGAAGCAAACTAGATGAACCCAACTTTGATGGGGAGCACCAGTGGGTCAGGGTATGTCAGGACAGCATAATGGACAGTGATGCTGTGTACAGGCAAGACAGCCCAGCCCAGACCCACGTCTTATGGAGAAAGGAAGGATGAGTATGCTCTGGATCCAAACAGCCCAACTGTTTTGAAATCTCCCCAACACAGGCTCACTGTTTGTCCTCCCAGATTTCTGTGCTCTTCAAGGTAGCGTGACCCTGGCACAAGAGGCCCACGTCACAGCTGGCAGACTTGACAATCAGTCTGCCCAGTGCCCTCCACAGTGGTTCTGTTCCATCTCCTGGAGCTCAGTGTCAGCCTGCTGTTCACCAGACTGAGCCAGGCTCTAGTACGCACCTCCTGCCTGAAGCCCTGCCTTTTCATTTGGCTCTCTTGAGCCAGTTGGCCAGTCTTTGCCACCACATCTACTCCATGCCTAAGTTATATCCTTTTACCCTTAAGGTATCTTTTTCTCATCTAGGGGGTCAGAGACTGCATGTTTGATAGTCCACTTTGGAGGCACACTCTTCTGCTGGATGGCATCTAAAAAAATAGTCATTTGAAAGCATCACCAGGAAATGGCAACAATTATATGACTGCTACCACTCTTGCTGCTGCTGCCACGCCAGCCCCGACTCTCTGCCCCTCACTGCGTGATCCACGTCCTTGGCCCCTAGCTGACATTTCCAGCATTACGGAGAAACAATGAATGGAGGAAGCAACGAACTAATGTCATCTTGCCAAATGAAGCTGCTTGCTTTTCAAATGTCAGGGCTTTGCCTCTTCATATTTCACTCTTCTCCTGCAAAATATTCTGCACCCGAGTGCCCTGGGAAACAGCAAGGGCTCTTAATTCCATCCCAGGGCATGTGAAGTTTGCTGGATGTGGTGATTCTAAAGAGCCTCGGGCAGTTTCTTGTTGGTTACAGTAACTGTCAAAACTATGATAAATGCTCTTAGGAAATAATGTTGTTGGAAGGGAGTTAAATTTGAAGTTTCAATATCCCTGGTTCATTTGCAAACCAGCAGACACAACAGCACAACATGCAGTGATGACATGCTAATGAGGTCTCAGTGTGTTACACCAATCCGCTGAAAGACCATTTACAAACATCTGTCAGAGTGTTGACTGTCCAGCTAAATTTAGAATGATTTTAGAGGCATCTTTCTGCCTACTGACCATGAAAAAGAATATACTGGCTGCAAAATACTCAGCTGGGAAGACTTGATGTAGCATACAGTTTTGTTCTAAGACTTTTTAGACAAGATCATGTCTGATGATGAAAAAAGATAAGAAAGAATCCAGCCAGGGAAGTAGCCATATAAAGCTAGTGTTAGATAAATATGCCAGTTCATGTTAAATGTGCACATGTGTGTATGTGTGTGCTAAATTATTTATGGTGTATAGTATAGTTATGCTTACCAATCATGTTATCTTACGACAACCACTGGCTTGTGCCTAAAAAATCTAATGTAACTGTAAAGCAGGTTAACCCATTAAATTCTTATTTAAAAAAGGACAATTACTGGTACCCTTTTCCTGCTTCAAACTACAATAACACATATCATCTAAAGATAACCAGAAGAAATTGTGTGGATAGGTGGGAAGCAGGAAGGAGGATATCCTGGATATCTTAAAATCCAAACAAAGCAAAACAAAACAAAATCCTTGAAATTGAAAACATACCTGAACTCTTAACAAAGCCCATATTGTACAACGCTGATGGGTACCCTCTTGTGTTTATTCACTATGTAATACATATACACATATGGTCACACAGAGCTACTGAATATTTGTTGCTTATTTTCTAAAAATGTTATGAGTGCACTATATTTGTACTTTCAGAAGGAACTTATATATTCAAATCAATGTTCAAGTCAAGTAAGGAAAGGAAGATATCAGTTTTAAATTGAATGTCCTTAAGAGAATCGGCTAACCACAAACTTATAATTTGTATTTATTTTTTAAAAAGCACCGAGATGGGCGATAGAAGATAAAAGACAACAAGCCTCATAGGTAAAGAAAATCTTTCAAAGGGCAACCCCTACAATGTGAAATCTAAAATGAATACTTGGTGATAAGGGCCTCATGGTGGAGCCAAGTCTGGACAGAACAGAGATGTTGATGAATTTCTGTTGTTTTCTTAAAACCAGTTCGTTTAAGTCTTCTTAAAAGGAAGACTTTTCTCTCAGGATTTAATAACTCATGTAATAATATTTTTTACTGAATAAGCATTTCCCTTGTGCTAGATTCCATGCCAAACTAGGTATAGCCATCATCTCGTTTCATTGTTAAAGATAAGAATTATAATTACCCTCATTTTACAAAGGAAGAAACTAAATCTGAGATTAGATAAGTAACATGCCTAAGATCACCAAACTAATAAGTGGAACTGTCATGAGTTCTCACTGCAGTGTTCATGCCCTGCCCTCTATCATTTTGGGATTCTTTCGTGTTACTATGCAAGAGAAACTGACCTGTGTAGGTCAGTATTTGCCAATAGAAGTATAGTAGCAAACATATATATAATTTAAATGTTTTGATAGCCACATTAAAAAGGAAAAAGATAGGTAACACTAATTTTAAATAATCCAATATATCTAAACATCATTTCACATGAAGCACTATCCACGTTTCAAGTGCTCACTAGCTCAGTGTGGCTAGTGGCTACCATATTGGAGACACAGATGCCCAACTATCTAATTTTCAAATCACCAGACTTCTGAGATGACTCTGGATAAATGGTTGTCAAAGAAAGTGATGATTATTCCAAAATATTTTTATGGATGGGTCTATAGGAAATCTAACCAATAAATAACTATGCAAAATGTTGAATCTTCTGAAAGCAACAGGAAGAAACATACAAATGGGAGATGTCTGTGACAAAAAAGAGAAGGAAGAAGAGGAAGAGGAGGAAGAAGAAAAGGAGGAAACCCCATTACAGGTGGTCATAAATAAATAAGAGCTAAAGCTTATTTGAACACAGGGACACTCAACCAAGGCTTCATGACTAAGCTGCAAAAAAGATCATTTCTGAGTAAGCAGAGACAGTTGTAAATATATGTAAATACACTTGATTAAAATGAAGGAAAAGGGAGTCTGTGGTTTTGCTCTGATGTTACGACTAACATAGTCTGGCCTTGTGTTGAGTCTTTAATGAAGCTTGGCTAAAAATACTGCTGCTAATTTAATCAGCTGCCGTTAGGCTAGTAGGACCTGCTATTCTGTAAGAAAGGATGAAACCTACAGGAGGAGGTGGAAAAACTGGAAGACAGCTGTCCATGAGCACAAGGACACAGAGGGAGATTGGCCAAAGGTGACATGTCTGCAATTTCCGTATGGGTCACGGAGGCTCACACACCCCACATTTAACCTTCTCTGCCTACCAACTGCACCTCCAATTTTGACCAGGAAGAACTTCTGTCATCCTGCCATATTACATCAGTTCTCCTTTTCCAGATAGGAACCAGAGTTCCCTGACCTCCTGAATTTTGAGGGGAGGACCACGTACGTGGGGTTGTGTTTAGGGTGGTATCACATGTGCCATATATGACCAGGAACAACAAATATTTTGTTGAATGTTGCTACTGATCATTCTCATGTACTGGGCTTTGGGGGCTTGGTTGACTTCAGACTTCCACTGTATCCCTCAAATAACGTGAAGAGGTCTCTTCGAGAGAGGCCTCCAGCCCCTAGAGCCATTTCTTCTGAACTGTGAGAACCTGGATTAGTTACTGTCTCTGTTTTCTCATCAAGAATCATTCCTAGCACATAGTAGACACTCTTTATTTGTTGAACCAATTAACGAATGGCCCTGTTTCATAGCAGGTACCAAAGAGAGAATGGGAGGAGAGATAGGCATCAGAAAGACCTCAAGAAACTGGATCCTTTCTGCCCACATACATACATATGGTTTAAATCAGACAGTTGTAAACCAAAGACCCAAGAGTGAGATTTCAGAGATTTGAGTTAAAGAAAAGACTGTAGGAAAGCTACAAGTCATTTAAAATAAAAAAAAGACAGAGAAACTCGGATTCTGCATGAGGGAGCTCCAGGATTGAGAAAGGGGCTTGTCTTGTGCCCCGGTGTGTTGTTAGGATGAGCACCTGGAAGAAAAGTTAACATCAGGTCTGGGGGTTCCTGAGGGATTCCAGCCACAACAGCCACTATTTTAAGTGATGGGTTCCAGGCCCAGAAGGATCTATAAATTGGAGTTACGAGTGCTGGAGATGTCACTAGTTCTGGTTGCCATGTCCATGCCCTGCCCTCGCTCTTTCTCTAAGACTCCATGCTCAGCTAAGGATCACAAGAACAAGTTCTTTTCTGGAAATCACAGGGCAGAGGAACTGTCAATTTCTGCCTCCCTGCCTTCACCCTTACAGACTTGAGAAGGCTCAGGCCCACCTCAGGTGAGTCAAGGTCCCGCGGAGTCTGTTGGCTTGTTTTCCATTGTGGTTTACTGAGGAGATTTTTAAAAACTAATGTTTATAACTTCTTTCTCGAATCAAGCTTGACACCACCCCTAGTTCCATGAAAAATAAACTCAACTATCATTAATAACTTTCCCATGTTTACATAAGGTTTTATGATTTTTAAAAATTACACACTAACATCTGTTTCAGGGAAT